CCGGCAACCTTCCGGTTCCAGGTCAACTCCCCTAACCACTCTACCACAGCCGCCCCTAAATGGGTAAATTTAGTGTAAGGAATCAGGGTTAGGCTATAGAAATGACCAGTAAATGAATCAAAGTCAATGGAAAGACCCCACAAGGATAGAGAAACATAGCTTGTGGGTGTGTGTGTGTCACTCACACACACACCATAGACACGGTCTCTTTCATGAGCATTAACCCTTTAGGGCCCAGATTACAAATGGTGACTAACATTTTATTTATTGTTATTTAACCAGTCAAGTCCCGTTGAGATCTCAGATCTCTTTTTCAAGGGAGGCCTGGAGGAAACCTACTGTACATGTTTTTTGTGTTTTGGGGGAAACCGGAGTACCTGGAGAAAACCCACACAAGCACGAGGAGAACATGCAAACTCCGCACAGAAAGACCCCAGGTCCGAACCGGGGGTCGAACCMAGGACCTTCTTGCTGTGAGGCGTTGGTGCTAACCACTGAGCCATTGTGCTGCCAAATAAAGTGGGCGGTCCTTCATGGGTCAGCTCCTCTCCTATTGGTCAATAAACAGGAAGTTAGCAGGATCCACATGCAGATCCATTGGTTGAGAAGAAAATGTGAAAACACTAAAAATAAGGAAAGCACTTTAAAATACAAAATCATTGTTTGTGATTGATGTTGACGTAAACAGGTGATGAAAAATTAAGGATGAAGATAACTCATTTTAACACCTTTAATGAGTGTTTTTACTTTTCMAATAATTGTGAGCAGTTTTAGGACTTTTACTAAAGTATTTTTCTTATCAGTGAATTTTTTTTTTTTACCAAAGTTATGTTCTGTTAAGGTCCTTTTACTTTCTTTACTTTTAAAGTAGTTTATCCACCTTTGTTGACCTCCAACTGAAAACAGGTTTGGTGATAAAGTTATTTTCACTCATTCTAACAAGAAAGAGAAGTTTCACTGATAAGACTCTGACGTGTCGTCATTGTTGTAACAGGTTTGTATTTCTGTTCATGGTTCAACGTCAGGTCAAGCCCTCTAAATGATACACCCTTTTAGTTGAGACTAAACTTCTGTTTCACTGATAAGGTTTACTCAGTTTGAGTTAGGACAGATTCTGATGCTCAGATACACTGGAGGCATTTAAGAAACAAACAGAACAGATACCTCTGAAACAGCTTGTTGATCCTGCTGAACGAGGGCCCTCTGATGAGCGGCCTTCTCGTGCTCCTTCAACAAACGTTCAAGCTCTGCTTTTAGCTCCTCCGTGTYGTGGAGAACCTCGTCCTGTGAGGGCAGTGATGGATCGTTACAAACTGATCGTTACACACTGATCATTACACACTGACCGTGACAGGAAGGAGAAGAGAACGCAGCAGTGATGTGCAGATCGATACTGAAATATCGATACTACCGATACCAGAACTTTATGTTCTAGAATCGATACTAAAATCAAAATCGATACTTTGACACTTTAGTTATTKCACATAATGTATATCAACAGGAAAATAGTGGAAAATTACTCAACTATTCCACACTTGTCTTGATCAKATGTGGTTGGAGAGAACTACTTTTTCTTCCGCTTGAGTTATGCATGAGCCATAAGTCAGTCACTCAGTCTGTAGATGTATGGCAGGTCATTTTAATATAAAATCGTTTGACTGTTGTTACATTCTAGATGAGGGGTTCCCAAACTTTTTCATGCCATGGCCCCCCAAAACAGCGTTAGCTCTGGCCAAGGACCTTCTTGCAAATATTTAGAATGTTTTTCAAAAATTGTTATATTTCTTTAGAATAAGAATTTTAAATTGTGCTTAACAAATGTAAGGTCAGGGCCAGAAAGACTTTAAAGCTTTTTTAAAGCTTTAAGACTTTTTAAGATTTACCAGACACATTATGTGTGTTATCACAAAGTATCGCCGATACCAGACACATTTTATTTGGTATCAGTATCGGAAAAAAAAAATTGGCAGTATCGAACATCACTAGAACGCAGCAGAACCCTGCCTTCTGTCGGCGCAGTCTCTCCACCGCCGCCTCCACACTGTCGTGGGGCTTTTCCACAGCCAAGGTGATGCTGGAGGGAGTGAGTTCAGGGCTCATCTCCTCTGCGATCTGACATTCCAGAAACTCGTTCTCCTCTTCGTAACGGCGAGCCTGAAAACACAGATTTAACGAGGAGAGAGGTGGACAGACGCAGACTCAGAGGGGTTATTTTTACTGCGATGGTGGAGTTTTTCTCACCAGTTCGATGAGTTTGAGCAGGCGGTCGTTCAGGTCAGCGATGGCGGCGCGCTCCTGGACAAACCTCTTCAAACCCTCTCTGTTCAGAWCCTCTGCAGCTTCAAAGTTTAACTGCTCACAGCCACATTTATCAACAGCTGCACCTCTGAAAGGAAATGCCAAAAACTCACCTTTTYCATGATGTTATTATTAAATCTGTTTTATGAACTGTATTTTAAACTGTTTTATTCTCATGTTGCTAAAAGCCCATCTAGGGACTGGCATTGCAAATTAGCCTAAAGTATAACTGTTGTACAGTGTTGACACTGTACAATACATGAAGTGAAACTGAGCTGAACTTAAACATTACTGTGAAGCGACTTATAGATAACAGGGTTCTTACAGTTTAAGGAAAGTTATGTTTAAGACTTTTTAATGACAAGTGAAATTAAATTTAAGACCAATTTCATAATAAACACAAATGACAAAATAAAAAAAATAATGGCAGAAACTCATGAATCAAAGTATTTTTGGTTGAATTATTCAAATATTGCTAACAGACCAATTGTTGTTATCCATATCTAACTATACCAGAAACATTCTTAGCAGTCAGTTTTAAACTTAATTTAATTTCTGGAAATCCTCCARTGACCCTAAATTTGGAGTTTTAGGACCCATAGTGGGATCTTAATCCCAATTTGCTGTAGATGAAACCTTAAAGTGCCTGTGACATCAATTTTTTGTTAATAAAAGTGAATGCATTTTTGGAAAGACAACATTATTAACATATTACAAAACAAATTTCACGTTGCTCAGATGAACAGTTGTTGAGATAGTTGCATGTGAAATAACAGGAAGTGATGTCAAAGGGGAATGTCTACATGTGAATATTTAAAAAAATTAATGTTACCAATTATTTTAATATTTGAGATGAATTACAATCATCCTACTTGCAATGGGTTAACATTTTTAAGACTTCTGAAAGATTAAGACATTTAAGGCTAATTATTTTGGATTGATGAATTCAATGACTTTTAAGACATTTTAAGGACCTGCAGGAACCCTGGACAAAAAAGTAAATATTCTGAAAAGGGCTGGGCGTATTTCTGGTTTACATGTGAAACCAAACACTTCATAACAAAAGGCTTTTTCCCTTCAGTGCTCAGATTTCAAGTTCCAGATGAGAATCAGTAGCCTGACCAGCTCCTTGTTCTTTGCTTTGCTTCCGAGTGAAGGGAAACTAGAATCAAGYGGAAATGTACAGGAAGGCAAGGTCCAGCCTAGAGAATCAGTGACCTAAATCTAAAATCTTTTTTATGCACAGAAACAGAACACAAACACTTTCAGATATTCTAATAAAACAACAAGACRTTTTAAGGTAAAACAGGAGAATTTTAGTTTTTTTTTTGGCTCAAGTTTGAAAAAATAAATAAAAGACAAGATCTGCTGTGCTTATATTTTATAATCACTGTGTTTATACATCAATAGAGCTTGTATTCAGGTAAAACCAAACAATAAAATAAACATGTTTGATTTACAGCGGGTAAAATAAGTGTTGAACACGTCACCATTTTTCTCAGTAAATATATTACTAGAGGTACTAATG